CGATAACGTGACAGTCAACGGTCTAACACAAACCAACTAGAACAAGATCCCACAACTATTGTGGAAAAACAGCCTGTTTAAATGTGGTTCCCAATCAGAGACAACCAGCCACAGCTGACACTCGTTGCCTCTGATTGAGAACCACACTGGCAACATAGAAAAGAAACAACTAGACCTACAACACAAATCTACACACCCTACATAACAGTGTCCCCAGAGCCAGGGCGTGACAGTACCCCCCCCTAAAGGCGCGGACTCCGACCGCGCCAACCAAATACCACAGGGGAGGGACCGGGTGGGCACTCCGCCTAGGCGGTGGATCCGGCTCCGGGCCTGATCCCCGCTCCCTCTCCAACCCCCCAAAGTACCCCTGGTCCGGTCTGGCCCCGCTGGCCTGAGCTGGACTGCACATTGGTGGAGCGGATTGCTCTAGCTCCGGCGTGAAGCATCTGACCGGTGCAGGACCAAGCACCGGTGGAACAGGCACGGGACGTGCCGGTCTGACGACGCACACCACTGGCTTGGTGTGGGGAACAGGAGCGGGCCGGACCGGGCTGGCGATGCGCACCACTGGCTTGGTGTGGGGAACAGGCACGGGCCGTGCCGGGCTGACGACGCACACCACTGGCTTGGTGTGGGGAACAGGCACGGGCCGTGCCGGGCTGACGACGCACACCACTGGCTTGGTGTGGGGGACAGGAGCGGGCCGGACCGGGCTGGCGATGCGCACCACTGGCTTGGTGTGGGGAACAGGCACGGGCTGTGCCGGGCTGACGACGCACACCACTGGCTTGGTGTGGGGAACAGGCACGGGCCGTGCCGGCCTGACGACGCACACCACTGGCTTGGTGTGGGGGAACAGGCACGGGCCATGCCGGGCTGACGACGCACACCACTGGCTTGGTGTGGGGGGCAGGAGCGGGCCGGACCGGGCTGGCGATGCGCACCACTGGCTTGGTGTGGGGAACAGGCATGGGCCGTGCCGGGCTGACGACGCACACCACTGGCTTGGTGTGGGGAACAGGCACGGGCCGTGCCGGGCTGACGACGCACACCACTGGCTTGGTGTGGGGGGCAGGAGCGGGCCGGACCGGGCTGGCGATGCGCACCACTGGCTTGGTGTGGGGAACAGGCACGGGCCGTGCCGGGCTGACGACGCACACCACTGGCTTGGTGTGGGGAACAGGAGCGGGCCGGACCGGACTGGCGATGCACACCACTGGCTTGGTGTGGGGAACAGGAGCGGGCCGGGCTGGAGACTCGCACCATTGGCCTGGTGCGGGGAGCAGGAACAGGCCGGACCGTACTGGGGACACACACCACTGGCCCTACGCAGGGATCTGGAACGGGCCAGACCGGACTGGTAACACACCCCAGTACCCTTCGCCGTGCCTCTACACCTTCCATCCCCTCTTCGACCAGTGGCCCCCGTAACCTGGCGGCCTCCTCTGCCAACCCGCTGGGCCGCTCTGTCGCGGTCTCCTGCTGGCCCGTCGTCCACGGCGTTAGCCCCCCCCTAAAAATTTTATGGGCTTCACTCCTACCCGTGGACCAGGTCTCCATACTTCTCGCCAGCCTTTCGCCCTTCTGCTTCCACGTCAAGCCCCTCTCTTCCTCACCCGGCTTGACCCAGTCGAGGAGGCGCTGGATATCCGCTAGGGTTTTCCCTGGCGATGGCTCCTGGACCCGCTGCTTGGTCCAGTTCTGGTGGGATCTTCTGTCACGATCGTCGGTAAGAGAGGAGGACCAAGGCGCAGCGTTGAATGCGAACATATTTATTATAGGTGATACACGATCAAAACGATAACGTGACAGTCAACGGTCTAACACAAACCAACTAGAACAAGATCCCACAACTATTGTGGAAAAACAGCCTGTTTAAATGTGGTTCCCAATCAGAGACAACCAGCCACAGCTGACACTCGTTGCCTCTGATTGAGAACCACACTGGCAACATAGAAAAGAAACAACTAGACCTACAACACAGAAATCTACACACCCTGGCTCAACATAACAGTGTCCCCAGAGCCAGGGCGTGACACAATTGGTGGCTGACTAAATACTTTTTTCCCCACTGTACATAGGCATAAAACCATTGTTAGACTGCTTTTGTCCATTTGAAAGTTTGAAACCTGACCATGAAGGAAAATCTGTTCAAAGAAGGGCAGTGTGTTAAACTCAAAGTATGTACTCTGAAGAGCTCTTCTATGAAACACAATCCATTTCTCAATTGAACTAACCCCTCATTTCTTTTCATATATTCTAGGTTGTAATATCCTACATTTTGGTGGATCCTGAGAAGGGGAAAAGTCCATACTTACTAGAGTGGGTCCAGAAAATGTTAAAGAAATGATAGCAGCACAAGAGTTGCACACAGAGTTTCAGTTTCCTCAGTAAGTATAACTTAGATGTGAAAAGTGTCACCTTTTTTTTTTCAAATGGTGAAGATGCAGTGGACATAAGCATTGTATTACATAGATAGACCATCAAACTAGTTCAGTGTGTATAATAACAATATATTTATTTTATATAGCGCTTTTCAAACAGAAGCTCATTCGCTTGAAAAAATCAAATATACACTACCGGTCAAAAGTTTTAGAAAACCTACTCATTCAAGGGTTTTTCTTTATTTTTACTATTTTCTACATTGTAGAATAATCGTGAAGACATCACAACTATGAAATAACACTTATGGAACATGTAGTAACCAAAAAAGTGTTAAACAAATCAAAATATGATAGCTTTGCACACTCTTGGCATTCTCTCAACCAGCTTCACCTGGAATGCTTTTCCAACAGTCTTGAAGGAGTTCCCACATATGCTGAGCACTTGTTGGCTGCTTTTCATTCACCCTGTGGTCCGACTCATCCCAAACCATCTCAATTTGGTTGAGGTCGGGGGATTGTGGAGGCCAGGTCATCTGATGCAGCACTCAATCACTCTCCTTCTTGGTAAAATAGCCCTTACACAGCCTGGAGGTGTGTTGGGTCATTGTCCTGTTGAACAACAAATGATAGTCACACTAAGCCCAAACCAGATGGGATGGCGTATCACTGCAGAATGCTGTGGTAGCTATGCTGGTTAAGTGTGCCTTGAATTCTAAATAAGTCACTGACAGTGTCACCAGCAAAGCACCCCCACACCATAACACCTCCTCCTCCATGCTTTACAGTGGGAAATACACATGCGGAGATCATCCGTTCACCCACACCATGTCTCACAAAGACACGGCGGTTGGAACCAAAAATCTCAAATTTGGACTCCAGACCAAAGGACACATTTCTACCGGTGTAATGTCCATTGCTCGTGTTTCTTGGCCCAAGCAAGTCTCTTCTTCTTATTGGTGTCCTTTAGTAGTGGTTTCTTTGCAGCAATTCGACCATGAAGGCCTGATGTCTCCTCTGAACAGTTGATGTTGAGATGTGTCGGTTACTTGAACTATGTGAAGCATTTATTTGGGCTGCAATTTCCGAGGCTGTTAACTCTAATTAACTTACCCTCTGCAGCAGAGGAAACTCTGGGTCTTCCTTTCCTGCGGCGGTCCTCATGAGAGCCAGTTTCATCATATCTCTTGATGGTTTTTGCGACTGCACTTGAAGAAACTTTCAAAGTTCTTGACATTTTCCGTATTGACTGACCTTCATGTCTTAAAGTAATGATGGATTGTCATTTCTCTTTGCTTATTTGAGCTGTTCTTGCCATAATATGGACTTGGTCTTATACCAAATAGGGCTATCTTCTGTATACCCCCCGCCCCCCCCCCTACCTTGTCACAACACAACTGATTGGCGCGAACACATTAAGAAGGAAAGAAATTCCACAAATGAACTTTTAAGAAGGCACACCTGTTAATTGAAATGCATTCCAGGTGACTACCTCATGAAGCTGGTTGAGAGAATGCCAAGAGTGTGCAAAGCGGTCATCAAGGCAAAGGGTGGCTATTTGAAGAATCTCAAATATATAATATATTTTTATTTGTTTAACACTTTTTTTGGTTACTACATTATTCCATATGTGTTATTTCATAGTTTTGATGTCTTCACTATTATTCTACAATGTAGAAAATAGTAAAAATAAAGAAACACCCTTGAATGAGTAGGTGTTCTAAAACTTTTGATGTGTAGTGTATAATGAACAAAAATATAAACGCAAAATGTAAAGTGTTGGTCCCATGTTCGCAACATGTAAGAATTTCAACGGTTTTACTGAGTTACAGTTCATATAATGAAATCAGTCAATTGAAATAAATTCAGTAGGCCCTAATCTATGAATTTCACATGACTGGGCAGGGGCACAGCAATGGGTGGGCCTGAGAGGCCCACCCAGTTGGGAGCCAGGCCCAGCCAATCAGAATGAGTTTTACCCCACAAAAGTGCTTTATTACAGACAGAAATAATCCTCAGTTTCATCAGCTGTCCGGGTGGCTGGTCTCAGACGATCCTGCAGGTAAAGAAGCCGGATGTGGAGGTCCTGGGCTGTCGTGGTTACACGTGGTCTGCAGTTGTAAGGCTGGTTGGATGTACTGCCAAATTATCTAAAACGATGTTGGAGGCGGCTTATTGAAGAGAAATTAACATTAAATTATCTGGCAACAGCTCTGGTGGACATTCCTGCAGTCAGCATGCCAATTGCATGCTCCCTCAAAACTTGAGACATTTGTGGCATTGTGTTGTGTGACAACACAAGGTGCCCCTGTGTAATGATCATGCTGTTTAATCAGCTTCTTGACATGCCACACCTGTCAGGTGGATTGATTATCTTGGCAAAGGAGAAATGCTCACTAACAGGGATGTAAATACATTTTTGCACAAAATAGAGAGAAATAAGCTTTTTGTGCTTATGGAAAATATCGGGGATCTTTTATTTCAGCTCATGAAACATGGGACCAACACTTTACATGTTGCGTTTATATTTTTGTTCAGTGAACAATATTTACAGAGCTGTCTTCCAAGGCTTCCTCACGGCACCATGGCAACCACGGAACTCAATGTATGGTTGCAATGACCTCATTTTGGTTTCTGTACAGGGAGGCTGATACACAGTTGTCCTCTGACACAGACCTTGAGGACCCTGATGTCAAGAATGCAAAGCTTGGGAAAGGAAAGGTGAGACTGGCATCTAAAGTCCTCTATCAACACAAGAAAGCCATAATAATTTGGATATGGTCACATACTGCTATACATTTGTGCGCACACAATGTACACTAACACCTTACATGGTATTCCTGTCTGTTGTAGGGGGGTAAGAAGGGGAAGAAAGCCCCTGGAGAGAAGGGGAAGGGTGGGGCAGTGAAGGGTGCTGGCCTTGGCCGGGTGAATGGCCACCACCAGGAGAACGGGATGGAGAGCATGACCCTGTTCGAGGTGATGAAAATGGGGAAGAGTGCCACACAGGTTGGTGCAAACTTTTTTTTATTAGACAATGTAATTCTCAAAGCATGTTGGTGATAGTAGTATTTTCATATTGAAGTGATGGTGAATGGGTGTCTTTTCTGTTAGTCTGTCGTTGATGACTGGATTGAGTCTTACAAGAACGATCGAGACATTGCTCTCCTGGACTTGATCAACTTCTTCATCCAGTGTTCGGGCTGTAAAGGTAGGCACCCAGAGCGGATTGAATAGAATACTAAACCCTGAGAAGGAAGTTTCTAAATCATTTTGCGTCCGTTACTTGTGATTATTGAGCGAGCTAAGATTTTATGGTTCTTATTTTTTGTTTTGCTACAGGTGCTGTCAGTGCAGAGATGTTCAGACACATGCAAAACTCTGAGATCATCAGGAAGATGACAGAGGAGTTTGACGAGGTACTGTCTGGTGGTGCACTTACTGTACGTCGTTATTTATGCCTCTCTGTCTATAGGGTCAATCTAAATGTTATTCTCTATTTTTTTCTCTCTCTCTCTCTCTCTGTCTGTTATCATATAGGACAGCGGGGACTACCCGTTAACTATGGCAGGGCCACTGTGGAAGAAGTTCAAGTCGAGCTTCTGTGAGTTTATCGGGGTGCTGGTGCGGCAGTGTCAGTACAGCATCATCTATGATGAGTACATGATGGACACGGTTATCTCGCTGCTCACTGGCCTCTCTGACTCTCAGGTCCGAGCCTTCAGACACACCAGCACACTGGCAGGTCAGTACTCACACAATATAGACACTGGGCAGTTGAGGGAAGGCTGCAGTTAAAGCACTGTTAAACTACTAGCTTGATGTATGCAATGCTATCTTTTATGAAGGATATGCTGTGTGTCAATATGTAGGACTAATGAATATACTTTAACTTGATGGCCAATCTGCATTAATAGTGCCTTATTAATTAGTAGATGTCACTCAAGTCAGTCGTTGTCTCTACCAGCCATGAAGTTGATGACAGCCTTGGTGAACGTGGCTCTGAACCTGAGCATCAACATGGACAACACTCAGAGGCAGTACGAGGCAGAGAGGAACAAGGTCATGGCCAAGAGGGCCAATGATAGGCTGGAGCTCCTTTTACAGAAGCGTAAAGAGGTGAGTGGGTTCTTCTTATGGTGCCTCAACTGTTTCTTCCCCACGACTGTTGTAGGGAAGGGGAAGATTACATTATCTGGTCCTAACAATTCTAACCTGACCATATAATATGTCATATTTATAAATATGAATATTTGAAAAGGAAAAGGCGCATCGCTCGCTTACCATTAAAAACATTATTTTATTTAAACATCTAAAAGGTTGACGTTTTGGCTACCATCAATGGCCTTCATCAGAACCAGTTCCTGATGAAGGCCATTGATGAAGTCCAAAACGTCAAACTTTTAATAGTATTAATGGTGAGCGAGCGATGCACCTTTTTAATTATGATTTAGTTTTATGGTTGCAGCTCGACTCCCATTGGTTGTGCAACCTCCACTTGTTTCCATTTAGAAATGTCTCTCCTTTCAGCTTCAAGAAAATCAAGACGAAATTGAAAACATGATGAATGCGATTTTCAAAGGAGTGTTTGTTCACAGATATCGGTATGTATTGGAATTTGTCATCTTTCTACACACAGAACAATGAATCCAATTAGAACTATAATGGTAAATGCATTATATTTAGAATTATGTATTGTTTTAGGGCGAATATTATGAATGTTTTTTTTGTAGTATATTTTTATTGAAGTTAGGGTGTCTAAAAAGAAAACTGTGGGTGCATTCACTAGATGTCAGAGAGTTCGATCTCTCAATGTGGAAACCAACTTCAGGTACTGACATTGCAGAGAGAGACTTCAGTGGCATGGAAGGCGTACAGCAGCTCTGAGATGTGCAGACTGGTCTTTCACTGAGCTGTCCCAAGGCTGTGTGGCGCCCTCTTGTGCTAAACAGGCAGCAACGGTTGCTAAGGCAGAACAGCTCATCATGGCACAGCATGTGCCACTGATATCTGATCTAAGTAGGCTTTTAAAACTGCCTCTGGCTGTACCACTTAAGCTTTTCTAATTAAATCCACTTTTACTGCCCTGCCATAAGATATCAAATAATTGAATTGACCAGTGAGCATGAGGGGTCTGTGAGTAAGTCTGGACATTTGTTCTCTGTTTATCAGTGATGCCATAGCTGAAGTCCGGGCAATTTGCATTGAGGAGATTGGGGTATGGATGAAGATGTACAGCGATGCTTTTCTCAATGACAGTTATCTGAAGTATGTTGGATGGACCATGCATGACAAGGTGAGCCATGCAATATGTCAAATCAAATTTGAAACTCTACAGCAGGGGTTCCCAAACCTTTTCACTCGGGGGGGCCCCCCTTCCAGCATTCGGGAACATCCTGCGCCCCTCCCTGCGAGTACGCCACGTCTATTTCTATGGGCACAAGCACTGTTCATGACACAAACTGTTCACACCCTTCTTGTTGGTGGAGAGAATTTTGCAGGTTTAAAGCTCATTTCCTGCAATTCTACAAAAAAAATTCATGGGGTGCAAAGAAAACGTTGCAGTTTTAAAGCAAATTTTCTTGCAATTCTATATATTTTGCCATGGCTAATGTGTATTCGTGTGATATTTAAGTGACTAAACAATTACAACTATCTATGGGATAAAAAAACGTTAGCTGACGTGGGCTAGTTGATCTGGATATTTATGACAAGTTATAAATAGCTCTCTAAGGTATACAATGACTAACATGACAAGAGTAACTAATGATGCACTACCCAATTTCGAAATTGCACCTTGTGCATTCTACTATTACAACTTTCAAGAGTAAGTTTAAAGCCGGACTGAGTTCCTGCGCCCCCCTTGCCGACCCCTCGCGCCCCCCACAGTTTGGGAACCACAGAGCTACAGCATTGAGGTTTGAACGTTGTGGTTACAACATTGTCCTCCTCCCTGTGATTGCAGCAAGGAGAAGTGCGTCTCAAGTGTCTGACTGCACTCCAGGGCCTGTACTATAACCGGGAGCTCAACACTCGACTGGAGCTTTTCACCAGCCGCTTCAAGGTAGGTCAGACACTCCACCATCTCATCACTAACTGGGAAATACTGTACATAACATACGCACATCATGGTTGGCCAGATGTTGACTTTACTGTCATTGACAGGACCGCATTGTATCGATGACTCTGGACAAGGAGTATGATGTTGCAGTGCAAGCCATAAAACTTCTGACTCTTGTCTTGCAGTAAGTAATCTGCAAAACATTGAAATATTGCAAATGTATTAGTGTCCAGTACTCCACGTACCCCTGACCCTCTGCTGACCCCGTTGAGACCTTACTGCCCTGTCTCTGTTGTTGTTGTCACATTGCAGTAGCAGTGATGAGGTCCTGACAGCAGAGGACTGTGAGAGTGTCTACCATCTGGTCTACTCTGCCCATCGACCTGTGGCAGTGGCTGCAGGAGAGTTCCTCTATAAGAAGTAGGTCTCACACCGGCTGTCTAAAGCTGTGGTGGAAGCTGAAAAACACTCTGATGAAATTGTGATTAAAGCACTATTTGGGTTAGAAATGCCTCCATGCTGAGAAACTGAAGTTTGTTTGAGAATTATCCAGCAGCATTTAGCCTGACCTCAATGTTGCCCTGTCCTTAGGCTCTTCAGCCATCGAGGTCCAGAGGAGGAGGGGATGCCCAGGAGGGGCAGGCAGAGTCTCAACGGGAACCTCATCAAGACCACCGTCTTCTTCTTCCTGGAGAGTGAGGTGTGTTCAGGCTCCATGTAGAGTCTGTCTATCTGTTTGAAGTGACCTACATGGGGCACGTGTTTCGGTTGTGATATATCTGAACGTTTGCAGCTCCATGAGCACGGGGCCTACCTGGTGGACAGCCTGTGGGAGTGTGTAGGGGAGCTGCTAAAAGACTGGGAGAGCATGATCAGCCTGCTGCTGGATGAGCCCATGCCAGGGGAGGAGGGTAAGGAGAAGCACCAAGCACTTGTACACAAACACACACACGCACACTGTTATTCACACTGTCATATCTCATCAACATGTTTGTCCCTGTCCAGCCCTGACTGACCACCAGGAGACTGCTCTGATAGAGATCATGCTTTGTGCCATCCGCCAGGCCTGTGAGTGCCACCCTCCAGTGGGCAGAGGCACAGGGAAGAGGGTGAGTGCTGCTTGGCATATTCCAATGTAAGCCCCTCAGCGGTCAACTCCATTACTAGTGAGCTCTCAAGGCTCTATTCTCAGAAGCCATGTTTGAACATTCACTCAGATGACTGAGGTTATATGAAAACCTTTCATATAACATGATTGTGACGTGATTGTGCTCGTCGGAAAATTCTCCTAGGTTTTGACAGCGAAGGAGAAGAAAACCCAGCTGGATGACCGGACGAGAATCACTGAGATTTTTGCTGTGGCGTTGCCTCTGTTGTTGGCTAAGGTCAGTTATCAAGTCATCTACATGACTGTCACTGTACAGTCTATACACGGCTGCTATATTTAACTCAGCCCCTGGGACCGCCAGATAGATGCAGGATTACTCAACCCTAGGTATCTTGTAGCTCCCCTCACCCTCTCCATCTTTTCCTCACAGTACTCTGTTGATGCTGAGAAGGTGACCAACTTACTGCAGCTGCCGCAGTTCTTTGACCTGGAAATCTACACCACTGGTCGATTGGAAAAGGTTTGTGAATCATCTGATATTCCTGGACCTCAACTAATCCTACCGTACCTTAGATTGTTAACAGTAAGTTATTCACACGGCCATTGTGGCAGAATGTAATTTGAGACCTCTCATCCCTTTGCCCTCTGTTTGTGTGCAGCACTTGGAGTCATTGCTGCGTCAGATCAGGGAAGTGGTGGAGAAGCACACAGAGACTGACGTGCTGGAGGCGTGCTCCATGACCTACCACGCTCTCTGCAACGAGGAGTTCACCATCTTCAACAGGGTGGACATCGCCAGGTCCCAGCTACTGGACGAGCTGGTGGACAAGTTCAACAGACTCCTGGAGGACTTCCTGCTGGAGGTGGGCTCACATGGCTTGGTGGTTCAAGGACTGTGTTTGAGATCATATTTACAACTGTTCGTCAGATGTAATGATATTTAAAGACTAGAGGACACTGAACCTTCAGAGTATTTCTCTTAGAAAAGTTTGTAGGGTTTTGTCATTTTAATTTGTAAGGTAGTACTTCTATTGAGACTGAAACTGTAAATTGAGTGCAGGATTTCACTAGACAGTTATCTGTTGTTTCAGGGTGAGGAACCAGATGAGGATGATGCCTACCAGGTCCTGTCCACACTGAAGAGAATCACTGCGTTCCACAAGTAAGGCCTTGATCAAGATTTAACGAGTAATGTGTAATCCAAACATTAGCCAGTGAACGGTAGATAAATCATAACTCCTTATCTGACTAGATTCTGTGTTTCTCTCTCTCCTCTGCAGTGCGCATGACCTCTCTAAATGGGACCTGTTCAACAGCAACTATAAGCTACTAAACACAGGACTTCAGAATGGTGATATGCCTGAACAGGTACCTAAAGCATAACCCTGTTATCCCTTTAAACTCACATAATCTCAATGGTTTACTATCACTTACCTTGTAATACTCTCTTTTTCCCAGATTGTAATTCATGCGATGCAGTGCACACACTATGTCATCCTGTGGCACCTAGCCAAGGTTTCAGAGGGCAGCTCCACAAAGGTACATACACTGTTATCAGTGACTAACGACTATCCAGTGTCTAGAAATGCTAGTGACAAGTTATGCCTGGATAATGACGGTGGTTTACTGCTTAAATAGTGAGTACTGAATACTGAGAATATCTGTTGCGTTTACAGGGTGACATGGTGACCCTGAGGAAGCAGATTAGGGCTTTCTGTCTGATGTGCCAGAGCTACCTCACTAGTGTCAACACCACCGTCAAAGAGCAGGTGGGTTGTCCTACATCATGTCGGTTGGCTGGACACACAATCGCATTTTCCCTTAAGGTGTGTGTTCACTATTCAGTGATTGCTAAAATGTTGTTGTTTTGCTGTGTTGGCTGGATTACTGTAACGCCTCGATCACACCGACAGCGTCATTGCGCAAAATGGTACGCAGCATCATCTGGATATGTGCAACAAAAGTTCAACATTCACCTTCTGCTTCCATTTCTGTCAAGCCGTCTACACATACAGTTGGATGCATACGTTCAATAAATCCAACGTATGCACCGCACAGAACGCACTGCAACTGCCACTGCAACGCAATGCTGCAAGGCAAATGCAGCGTTCCATTGGAAATGATTGTACCAAAACGCAATGATGCTGTCGGTCTGATCGAGGCGTAAAGCACTCAGTGTTTTCCGTAAGTACATGGAGTAGCCAGCCAAATAGAAAAAGTAGCCTGCCAGGGAGTTCCGGGCTGGGGGGTGCCGAGGGCACATGCCTCCCTGGGATTTAATTTTTCCGAACTAGCTCTACATTCTAAAGCCTTGATTCCATCTGAAGGACACAGCAAATTATTGAATACTTTAACGACTTTACCTCCCAGATTGGTCAAATGAGTAGAAAGACATGACTACAATTAAAATGACTGAAAATGTATGAGTTCAGTGTGTTAGTTGTTTTGGATATCGGCTAGGCCTTTATGATCAGGACTATTTTCTAAGTAAGATAACCTTTTTTTAACATTAAACCTGTCTTCTCTTGAGATTAAAGTCATATTTACAGTTTTACTGCAAGATATGAATTGCCACAATGTTTTGTTATTCAAATTGTGTATTTTATTGGCTCTGCTGCTGTGGACACTTAGGGTAAGGAATTTTGTAATTTGAGGGAACTATCCCTTTAACAGTTTGGCCTGTCAATTAATCACTGTGGGTGGGATTGTCAGGGGAGGGGGCAGGATGTTTGTGAGTCACCGTAGGGTTTCAGACCTGTCAATCAATCACTGTGGGTGGGATTTTGAGGGAAGGCGGTAGATTAGTAATCTAGTCAGAAAAAGTCTAGTCTAGTCTACTCTTTCAATTTAGTTTATTGTGTCAAAAACCTAAGAAAAAAGGTTGTGTTCTGTCGTGTGTAGCTCAGTTGGTAGAGCATGGCGCTTGCAACGCCAGGGTTGTGGGTTTGTTTCCCACGGGGGGCCAGTATGAAAAAATAAATAAATGTATACACTCACTAACTGTAAGTCGCTCTGGATAAGAGCGTCTGCTAAATGACTAAAATGTAAAAATGTAAGTAAACATGGACTCCCTATTGAGAAACAATATAATTGTGGGAAAATGGTTTTAAATGCAAAACATTTCAGGGGCAGGACCCCCCGCCAGATTGTGCATCCCCACAAATACACAAAGTCAGGCGTCAATGACTAGACCTACAGGTATGATTGAAGATTGAAGCAGGAGTTAAACATGGGCTTTGCTACACAGAAAGCAGCAGTTGACTAGGCTACTCCATTGTCGACACTTTAATAAAATCACTAGGCCTATATTAATATATTTAATAATACCATATCATGTATCATAACATTAGCTTTTATAACCTTCAATCTGTTTTCTTTTATCATATTTTGGACCAGAATGAGGCTCTCTCCACTACTTATTGTTCCTGCAGTGCGGAGTCAACATCTTTGTTGAATGTTTTCATAATTTACTACTGCTTTTTGGCGATTATCTGCAGATAGTCTACCAGTATGGAAATTAGGGAACCAAATGAACGGCTCTCTAACCGATACGGTTCCTTTCACCTAACACAGTGGTCACCAACAGGTCTGGTGATCGACTAGGCATTCCTAGTCGATCACCAGGCATTCCTAGTCGATCACCAGGCATTCCTAGTCGATCACCAGGCATTCCTAGTCGATCACCAGGCATTCCGAGTCGATCACAAGGCATTCCTAGTCGATCACCAGGCATTCCGAGTCGATCACAAGGCATTCCTAGTCGATCACCAGACATTCCTAGTCGATCACAAGGCATTCCTAGTTGATCACCAGACATTTCTGTAGAAAGTTCAACGATAAAGGCTTGCGCTCCTTTTTATTATAATTTAATTTTTTTGACTTTGCGCTTGATTCAGAAGGTGCACTTGATTCAAAAACCCTGTGCGCCGGGTAGGCAAAGTGTTTCCATTCTGTACCACTCCATTTGTCTGAAGGGACAAACTCCGCCTACCCGTAGGACCAGGAGAGCAGTGGCTAAATCAAGTGCGCCTACTGAGCTGGCCAATCGGATAGCTCAAATCACTGTGCCAAGAGCAGCTTCCGCGACCCCACAGCTAAATTTGATATCAGCCTACGTGAGATTTCGCCATCAGTGGTCAGTCTCACCGGAGGAAAGGAGAGAGCAGGGACCGTGAGAGGCGGACCCACTGCTGCTCTCTCCCTCCCTCCACTGAGACTGACCATCAGATGCAGGGACCATTAGTCCAGTAAAATAAAAAAGTGAATTATTTCAATTTATGCTCAGCTGTGCCTCGCAAGTGATACAACAACTGATCTATTTTGTTATCAAAGCTCGAGTTTTGAAATATAATACGGTCTGAGAAGAACAGTATTGGCAGGCCAAGCATATAGCCAATATGCTGTGATAATGTATTAGGCCTACTGCACAAACTTCATTCCTACAGACTGTTTTTTATTAATGTTGCATATGTTTACATTTGTAATGTTTTTTATTTTATCTGAGCGGTAGATGTCTGCTTGCTTTTTGACTGCGAAGGTGATCTTGACTCCGAAAAGGTTGGTTACCGTTGACTTAACAGATCTGTTCAAAAATAGCCATTTGTTCGCGAACAACCCATCACTAGGCTACACTGACAAGTCATTTTAGCGGTCACTGGCAAGTCTCGACATGGGCTTCGAATTCTAGGAAAATACAAACAATATCTTTGGTTTACTTTTCCCGATGCGATACAATGGACATATAACTATGTTGTATGATTTATGAATAGCAAAAGGATGTAGGAGATTGACTTTATTCCATCAGTTTGACATCTTTAATAAACTAGTCAACACTTGCTCTTCGGTCGTCAATCAAACCACAGTAAATAGCCTATGCGCCCCTACTCTGTGGCTGTATAGGCCTATGAAACACGCAAAAGAAAATAAATGAATGTGCCACAAAACAATTAAGTGGATTACAACTCATCGTTACCTCTTACATTACATGGGACATGTAAATTCACTCACAGGAAATGATGAAGAAGCATCATGGTCTCCCTCCTCCGTGAAAATAAATTTGACTGCAGCCAACCACAGCGTACATAAATAACACGGTATCGAGAGGCAGGCTCTTTATTACTGACAGGCATCGGTTCTATCAATAGATCATTAGAAGATGTATATCGTTCATTCTAGCGGGAGAAGGCTATACAGACTGTTTCTGACCAGCGAATTGAAACTTTTCAATGAAAAAAAGCCTAGTTAATTTATCAAGTGGAAAAAGTAGCCAGCTTACAAATGAGTCTGTTATCGGCTATTTAGCCGACAGCCAGCGCTTATGGAAAACACTGAGCCCTGTGTGGCAACTGTTAACATGAAAGGGCTTTTTAACTAAATGTGATTGATTGACTGTGTTCCAGGCCTTCACTATCCTGTGTGACGCCCTGATGATCTTCAGCCACCAGATCGTGTCGTCGAGCCGGGAGCAGCTGGAGGCTCTGATCTACGCGCCAGACTCCTCCCTGCAGGCTGAGCTGCTCAACTTCATCCTGGACCACGTCTTCATCGACCAGGACGAAGACAACAACAGCACAGGTCAGACACATCCCCCTTTCACAGCCCCCTGGCAGACAGTCACCATACAGGCCAGACAGAGCCCAACCTTACTCAGCCCCCTGGCAGAGAGTCACCATACAGGCCAGACAGAGCCCAACCTCACACAGCCCCCTGGCAGACAGTCACCATACAGGCCAGACAGAGACCAACCTTACACAGCCCCCTGGCAGACAGTCACCATACAGGCCAGACAGAGCCCAACTTCACTCAGCCCCCTGGCAGAGAGTCACCATACAGGCCAGACAGAGCCCAACCTCACACAGCCCCCTGGCAGACAGTCACCATACAGGCCAGACAGAGCCCAACCTTACACAGCCCCCTGGCAGACAGTCACCATACAGGCCAGACAGAGCACAACCTCACTCAGCCCCCTGGCAGACAGTCACCATACAGGCCAGACAGAGCCCACCCTCACACAGCCCCCTGGCAGACAGTCACCATACAGGCCAGAAAGAGCCCAACCTCACACAGCCCCCTGGCAGACAGTCACCATACAGGCCAGAAAGAGCCCAACCTCACTCAGCCCCCTGGCAGAGAGTCACCATACAGGCCAGACAGAGCCCAACCTCACACAGCCCCCTGGCAGACAGTCACCATACAGGCCAGACAGAGACCACCCTTACATAGCCCCCTGACAGACAGTCACCATACAGGCCAGACAGAGCCCAAACTCACTCAGCCCCCTAGCAGAGAGTCACCATACAGGCCAGACAGAGCCCAACCTCACACAGCCCCCTGGCAGACAGTCACCATACAGGCCAGACAGAGCCCACCCTTACACAGCCCCCACCCTTACACAGCCCCCTGGCAGACAGTCACCATACAGGCCAGACAGAGCCCACCCTCACACAGCCCCCTGGCAGACAGTCACCATACAGGCCAGACCAAGCCCACCCTCACACAGCCCCTTGGCAGACAGTCACCATACAGGCCAGACAGAGCCCACCCTCACACAGCCCCCTGGCAGACAGTCACCATACAGGCCAGACAGAGCCCACCCTCACGCAGTACAAGTCAGACATCCACTCAGCCCACCTGGTAGCTAGTCACAACACAAGGAGACCGCTGAGAATGGCTTTTAATGTGAACACACAATTTAAATATGTAGTAACACCAGAGCTCTTTCTGAGTTGAAGCGAACACCTTATATGGAGACCTGAATAATGAAGCTTTGCAAGGGGTTACTTATGTGTGATTTTGGTTTTCTTAATTTTATCAGATGGGCAGCAAGATGATGAAGCCAGTAAAATTGAGGCTTTACACAAGAGGCGGAACCTGCTGGCAGCGTACTGCAAACTGATCATTTACAATGTGGTGGAGATGAACACTGGAGCTGATATCTTCAAGCAGTACATGAGGGTATGTCTGGCCTCCTACCATATTTATCCCTTAAAAAACCCATTGCTATTCCCAATCCATTACATGTGTGTTTTTCTCTCTAGTACTACAACGACTATGGAGATATCATCAAGGAAACGATGAGTAAAACAAGACAAATTGACAAGATCCAGTGTGCCAAGACCCTCATTCTGAGTTTGCAGCAGGTAGGAGCTTTGGAGAAATTAACATTCAATTAAAGTATTGTCTTAATTTTGTGACAGTGTGAGTGTTTTGATGATCATTTTTAAAGTTGCAACACTTTTCTCTTTTAGCTTTTCAATGAGATGTTATCTGACCTCGGCTGCAACTTTGACCGCTCGTCGTCGTCCTTCTGTGGCATTAAAGAACTGGCCCGACGTTTCTCGTTGACCTTTGGCCTGGATCAGCTGAAGACCAGAGAGGCTATCGCCATGTTACACAAGTAAGCCCAAAGGTTTAACAGCTCTGTAGGCATGCTTCAATTTGAGGCTTCTCAACATCCCAGAACTGTTCAAGTATTTACAGCTCAATACTTCAATCAATTCCTTCCTAAACATGTTGTCTTGTGCTGCACTTTCTGCAGGGATGGAATCGAGTTTACCTTCAAGGAGCCCAGTCCCCAGGGAGAGGGAAACCCTCCTCTCAACCTAGCCTTCCTGGACATTCTCAGCGAGTTCTCCTCCAAACTGCTTCGTCAGGACAAGAAGACTGTGTACGTCAGAGGAAACTGTTATACTTATTTCTATGTGCAGTCAGTGACTGTATTATCCATAGCCAGACAGACCACAGCTACACTAGATCAGGCATAGTCATTGCGCGTCTCTCTGCGACTTAATTGGCGGCTCACGGCAAAAATGTAAAAACATTTATTGTATTTTCCTCATTCAGCTGAATGCGCCCGTGGTTACGTGAGTAGCCTTATTAGCGACTGGGACAAACGGAGGGGTAAAATCAGTGTCACTGTGATTTTGTTTTACAAGAGTGGCTCCCTCTAAGATATTGGTGACTACCACTGCACTAGATGATGGATGTTGAGTTGTGGTCCTCTGTCCCCTCCAGTCACCTCTACCTGGAGCGGTTCATGACCTTCCAGATGGCCTTACAGCGAGAGGACTGCTGGCTGCCCCTCATCTCCTACAGGAACTCCCTGCAGGCCGGAGGAGACGACGACACCAATGTCTGTCATCAGCGGCTACAGCAGCCGAGGTTCCAGCGTCAGGAGTAAGAAGGCCAAGCCAGCCAGCACCGGCAAGAGGAAACTACCTGAAGGTGAGGGGCCGACACAGAGCCACAGAACAGCATGGGCAACATACTATGACACACTGGCATTTTAAACCTGAAAGCTCAATGTTTAGTGTTACAGCTTGTGTTCCAGAATCTGTCACCTGCAGCACAATGTCAGATCATCGAGCAGGGCGAAACAAATGGTAAAAGCCCATACAAGCAATACAATAAATCTAGCCAAATGTTCAATTTGATTTTCACTTGGGGACATAACTTGTTGAATGGAAATTAGACATTTATGAATTGAGGCAAGTGTTTGCTAGATGTTTTGAGATGTTGGCATTATAAAAAGCCAGTCCGCTAAGACAGGGATCATCAACTAGATTCAGCCGCAGGCCTAATTTTTTTATTGAGCGGATGGTTGGGGGGCCGGAACATAATTACAAATAATTTGTTGACGGCAAATTGACTGCATGAAGCCCAAACAGATATAATGTATACGATCACGTTTCTCTCTATTATGCGTGGGAATACTTTGGAACAGACTTCCTGGAGTTTTCAGTCTATTATGTCCAACAATAAAACATGATATATACACACCGGTCAAAGGTTTTAGAACACCTACTCATTCAAGGGTTTTTCTTTATTTTTACTATTTTCTACATTGTAGAATAATAGTGAAGACATCAAAACTATGAAATAACACATTTGGAATTTGTAACCAAAAAAGTGTTAAACAAATCAAAATATATGTTATATGTGAGATTCTTCAAATAGCCACCCTTTGCCTTGATGACAGCTTTGCACACTCTTGGCATTCTCTCAACCAGCTTCACCTGGAATGCTTTTCCAACAGTCTTGAAGGAGTTCCCACATATGCTGAGCACTTGTTGGAGGCCAGGTCATCTGATGCAGCACTCCATCACTCTACTTCTTGGTAAAATAGCCGTTACACAGGCTGGAGGAGTGTTGGGTCATTGTCCTGTTGAAAACAAATGATAGTCCCACTAAGCCCAAACCAGATGGGATGGCGTATCGGTGCAGAATGCTGTGGTAGCCATGCTGGTTAAGTGTCACTAGCAAAGCACCCCCACACCATAACACCTCCTCCTCCATGCTTTACGGTGGGAAATACACATGCGGAGATCATCCGTTCACCCACACCGCGTCTCACAAATCCACGGCGGTTGGAACCAAAGATCTCCAATTTGGACTCCAGACCAAATGACACATTTCCACCGGTCTAATGTCCATTGCTCGTGTTTCTTGGCCCAAGCAAGTCTCTTCTTCTTATTGGTGTCCTTTAGTAGTGGTTTCTTTGCAGCAATTCGACCATGAAGGCCTGATTCACACAGTCTCCTCTGAACTGTTAATGTTGAGATGTGTCTGTTACTTGAACTCTGTGAAGCATTTATTTGGGATGCAATTTCTGAGGCTCGTAACTAATTAACTTATCCTCTGCAGCAGAGGTAATTCTGGGTCTTCCTTTCCTGTGGCGGTCCTCATGAGAGCCAGTTTCATCAAAGCGCTCGATGGTTTTTGCAACTGCACTTGAAGAAACTTTAAAAGTTCTTGACATTTTCCGTATTGACTGACCTTCATGTCTTAAAGTAATGATGGACTGTCGTTTCTCATTGCTTATTTGAGCTGTTCTTGCCATAATATGGACTTGGTCTTTTACCAAATAGGGCTATCTTCTGTATCCCCCCCTACCTTGACACAACACAACTGATTGACATTAAGAAGGAAAGAAATTCCACAAATTAACTTTTAAGAAGGCACACCTGTTAATTTAAATGCATTCCATGTGACTACCTCATGAAGCTGGTTGAGAGAATGCGAAGAGTGTGCAAAGCTGTCATCAAGGCAAAGGGTGGCTACTTTGAAGAATATAAAATATAAAATATACACTTTTTTGGTTACTACATGACTCCATATGAGTTATTTCATAGTTTTGATGTCTTCACTATTATTCTACAATGTAGAAAATAGTAAAACAAATAAAGAAAAACCCTTGAGTAGGTGTTCTAAAACTTTTGACCGGTAGTGTATATACAGTGGGGAGAACAAGTATTTGATACACTGCCGATTTTGCAGGTTTTCCTACTTACAAAGCATGTAGAGGTCTGTAATTTTTATCATAGGTACACTTCAACTGTGAGAGACTGAATCTAAAACAAAAATCCAGAAAATCACATTGTATGATTTTTAAGTAATTAATTTGCATTTTATTGCATGACATAAGTATTTGATCACCTACCAACCAGTAAGAATTCCGGCTCTCACAGACCTGTTAGTTTTTCTTTAAGAAGCACTCCTGTTCTCCACTCATTACCTGTATTAACTGCACCTGTTTGAACTCGTTACCTGTATAAAAGACACCTGTCCACACACTCAATCAAACAGACTCCAACCTCTCCACAATGGCCAAGACCAGAGAGCTGTGTAAGGACATCAGGGATACAATTGTAGACCTGCACAAGGCTGGGATGGGCTACAGGACAATAGGCAAGCAGCTTGGTGAGAAGGCAACAACTGTTGGCGCAATTATTAGAAAATGGAAGAAGTTCAAGATGACCCTCGGTCTGGGGCTCCATGCAAGATCTCACCTCGTGGGGCATCAATGATCATGAGGAAGGTGAGGGATCAGCCCAGAACTACACGGCAGGACCTGGTCAATGACCTGAAGGGAGCTGGGACCACAGTCTCAAAGAAAACCATTAGTAACACACTACGCCGTCATGGATTAAAATCCTGCAGTGCACGCAAGGTCCCCCTGCTCAAGCCAGCGCATGTCCAGGCCCGTCTGAAGTTTGCCAATGACCATCTGGATGATCCAGAGGAGCAATGGGAGAAGGTCATGTGGTCTGATGAGACAAAAATAGAGCTTTTTGGTCTAAACTCCACTCGCCGTGTTTGGGCGAAGAAGAAGGATGAGTACAACCCCAAGAACACCATCCCAACCGTGAAGCATGGAGGTGGAAACATCATTCTTTGGGGATGCTTTTCTGCAAAGGGGACAGGACGACTGCACTGTATTGAGGGGAGGATGGATGGGGCCATGTATCGCGAGATCTTGGCCAACAACCTCCTTCCCTCAGTAAGAGCATTGAAGATGGGTCGTGGCTGGGTCTTCCAGCATGACAACGACCCGAAACACACAGCCAGGGCAACTAAAGAGTGGCTCCGTAAGAAGCATCTCAAGGTCTTGGAGTGGCCTAGCCAGTCTCCAGACCTGAACCCAACAGAAAATCTTTGGAGGGAGCTGAAAGTCCGTATTGCCCAGCGACAGCCCCGAAACCTGAAGGATCTGGAGAAGGTCTGTATGGAGGAGTGGGCCAAAATCCCTGCTGCAGTGTGTGCAAACCTGGTCAAGACCTACAGGAAACGTATGATCTCTGTAATTGCAAACAAAGGTTTCTGTACCAAATATTAAGTTCTGCTTTTCTGATGTATCAAATACTTATGTCATGCAATAAAATGCAAATTAATTACTTAAAAATCATACAATGTGATTTTCTGGATTTATGTTTTAGATTCCGTCTCTCACAGTTGAAGTGTACCTATGATAAAAATTACAGACCTCTACATGCTTTGTAAGTAGGAAAACCTGCAAAATCGGCAGTGTATCAAATACTTGTTCTCCCCACTGTATATTTCTTGCTCAGAAAACTTGGGGGGCCAAATAAAACCACCCACGGGCCAAATTTGGCTTGCGGGCCGCCAGTTGGGGAACCCTGCGCTAAGATGTCTCGACCTGAGCAGTGAGTAGTCTGCCCACTCTATAACAACCTCATTAAACCCTATGAAACCCTTGCTATTGCAGCAGAGGAGAGTAGCAGCTGCAGTACAGACGCAGTGTGGATGAACCGGGAGCAGAATGTTCAGACGCCAGTGATGATGCCCTCGCCGCATCTCACCTCCACTGTGCTGAGGGACCCCAAGAAAATGAGGCCGGAGGAGAGTTACATGGGTGTCTACGCCATGACATCAGAGCAGCAGCAGCACCAACAGCTGCCCCCCCAGCAGCACCACCATCAGACCCCCATGGACTACAAGTACGGAATACCTTTCTATGGCTCAACACCTTTTGATTCTCATGAGTATCTTTGGCCATCCATTGTAGGGTGTCCACCCACTCTGCCCAGAGATGGTGAAAATGCGCTTTGGTGATTAAATGTCACTTTCTTATGTTAGTTATAAAATAAATTTAACCAAGACAAATATGATTATTCAAGTTCTGAATCGTACAGTGGGATCTATCTCTAACATATAATTAGCATTATATCCAAAAACTCGGATTTCGTAACTAATACATCTGATTAATAAGCACCAAGCTCTGTTGACATAGTGGTGCAGGTTTCTCGTAACAACTTTTGAGGATTTTACATTTTGTGGTCGTCGTCTTCAAAGTTTTTTCCGCGGGTCACAAAAAGCTAAATTAGCATGACCCGAGCTGAATTAAATGTAAAAGGCTTTGAAAATAAAAGGCTTGGTATACGCTCAGTGCTCCGTTGACATTTCACATACGCTTGTTTTTGTGAGAAATCTTCTAAAAATAACAGGAATTTTGAGTTAATATGAAAAGTGTATACTAAAATATGAAAATACTACATATCATGTCTGAAAATCGATATCCATCTTACCTCTATATTGTTTTATGTATTGGGGATTCGAGAAGAAAGATGATGAGTTCAACGGGAAAGTGAGCCTGTCAGGTAGCCAGTAGACTTAATTCTTGCACAGAATCCAGCATAGTTTACACAATGCAATTTTCCGGATTTTTGACCACTTTTTTTTTTCAGTCCTCCATTGATTTAGTCATCCTAATTCTGGCCATCCTACAAGGGTAAAAAATCCAATAACTTTTGAACGAATTATGATGAAGACATGAGGTTTGGACCATTAGTTTTCTTAGAGGATTAACTACACAATTAACATATTATTTTACCCTTTGGTCAAAATATGCGTTTTTGATTGGACACCATATCCATTGTAATGTTATCACAATGAATGATATCTTCAATGAGACCGCTGTAATTCACCTCTTGTTTGAATAAGTATGACTGTCTGTATTAATGCGTCTGCCTCTGTTTTCAGTACCCAGGTGACCTGGATGCTAGCCCAGAGACAGCAAACTGAGGCCCGGCAGCAGCAGGAGCGAGCCAGCATGCAGTATGCCAAGATGAGGAGCCACATGCAGCATGCAATGTAAGACGTCACTTCTCTTCAAGGCCAGAGTGGTGTTTCAAACCCAGTGTAGTACATAGTCATTTGCTGCCATGTGTGTAATGTATATAGTTATTTGTGGCCATGTCTTTGACCCTCTAGCCGCCGCAGTTCAGGACTCATGGAGGACGATGAGGAGCCAATAGTAGAGGATGTAATGATGTCATCAGAGGACCGTTTGGAAGATCTCAACGAGGGCATGGATTTCGATACTATGGATATTGATCTGGTAAAATACAGTCAATTATGTTTATTTTCTCACAAGTAGTGCATTTATCAATATTACTGCTTTGGTGTTTCTTCTTTCTTACTCTGCTGTTATTGTTTAGCCACCATCGAAAAATCGTAGAGAGAGATCAGAGCTGAAGCCAGACTACTTTGATCCTTCTTCCATCATGGATGATTCGGTGGGTATTGGTTTGTTATTGAGAGTAAAGTGATATCTACATTGTTAAAGATAACGTACAACAAACAATATGATTGACAATAACAGTGGCAGTGCCGATGTGAAGTCCAGATACCTAGTTAGTGTCTTTGGTATGCATATGCTCATGGAAACGCTTTACTGATATTCTTCTATTCACTTTTCCATATTATACAGAAAGTACTTAAAAACTAAAATTGATTTCCTTTCCTTTTAGGTCCTCAATGTTTCAATGTTCTAAGCTGATTATGGTAGATATGCATGAAGAGGACACTGTGTTGTTACCGAAAACCTTTTTGATGACGAGAAGTATTCTCTGTAGAGAACTGTTTTAAGATAAGCTCATGGGACTATTTGCTTGTGAGGCTGCAATGGTTGCCTATTCGACATCATGTTTGAATTTCACCTTTACTTTTGTCAATCAATGGGCAGGTTTTTGTGTCATGTAAATACGTAGTGTCTGACATACTTTTAAAAGATCAAATCTGGCATGGCATGTAGCCATATATTAAAACATATACAGTAAGAGAAAATGTGAAATATCTTCATATTGTTGGAAGGCCTTACCGCAAATATTGTTGGAAGTCCTTACCTCAAATATGAAATACCAATCATGGTATTTTTTAAAAGGTTAATCTGTTCTGCTTTTATAACTTATAGAAGACTTTAATTTATAGTTTTTTTTTAATGACAATCAGGTGTAAATCAGTACTTTATAATCATCATAGAGAGTACAGAAATTACCTTTTGTAATGGAATTTCTGGTGTGTAACAATGGATGTGGCCTGCAGTTTCTTTATTTTTTTCCAGTGTAATAGGTGAGACCTCTTGGTGAACTGATAATGCCCAAATGCCATTTGACCAATTGACAGGCTTAGTTTAAATTCTGATTTGCTTTTAAAGGTATGATGATTTGAATGCTGTGTGGCTTTTGAAGAGTGGAACAAAAGTATACTGTGCAGGGGGGTTGTATAAAAGAGCGGTCAAAATGTTCTCTGTTGTGTCTGTAAGAGAAAGCTTGTTATAGAATGTTTCTAAAATACCACATTTAAGAGTTTGGATTAGCTGTCATGGTATCATAATATATTATTATATATAAGGAAATATATAATTACATATTATACAGTTATAAAAATGTGTAATATATTGTGAATCGGTGCTCATTTTATATTTGCTCAGTTTTTGTTAATTTGAAATCCAACTTATGATAAGGTTCAATAGAATGTAAACTGGTTTAAATTAACCTCCTAACTAATGTGCAGTTATACATAAGAATTTACCTTTGTATATGTATGGTTATGTTTTGTTTGTCTTTTCTAAGGATTCTTGTTTTGAGTAACTTTTCTTTACCTCTATGTACATTAGGTTGGTTTGCAAGTTCCCAACAAGCTTTTCTGGAGGAATAAAATTGTAATCATGAATATTGTAAATTATAGTTTTATACAGCCACAACAGCTTAAAACACAGCCTCTCCTTTTTAAAAGCAAAAATGTCATATCAAAATCTAAATACGAAACTACAAACCAGAGAATTTCATATTTTTCATTATTTAGATTGTAGCAAGGTTAGACAGAAAATACATTTAAAAATCATTGAAATGCATAGTTGTTTCACTTAAATTGTATGTAGGCTTCATACTGTCATTTTGATATTTTCCTTTCTGTTGTCCTTGCATTGAACTGCTGAAAGTGTGTGCATATGTGTATGTATACACACATAGATATATATTCAAATGTATATACATGTGTGTTTTTTATTCTATTTACAAAGTGTCCACTGTACCATTTATGGTTTGTATTTATGTCTGGAGACAGTAACTTTTTGAACAAAATAAACCTCCTGCAATTGTGTGATGATTTGAGTGTTGTTTTTAGTAGGCCTATAGAGCTCGCCACCTTGTAGTCCTAAAACCCGGAAATTAGTTACCTCTGGTTCGTTCAGCCATCCCTATGGGAAAAATGAACTGGGAAAGTATAGGGTTTTAGAATATACACAGGAAATAAAGTCTGAGGTTAACACATGCTTAGGAGATTTTATGCGTTTTGTTTTATGAGATAATAGCAGTCGACGTGAACTTCATGAATTATGAAGCATTTATGTGCTTTTTCTTTAATAACATAAATTCTTAAATTCACAAAAAGTGACGTTAGCTGATAAACATTATCTCAGAACTAAACGTATAAGATCTCCCAAGTCTGTGTTTACCACAGACCTTATTTTCTGCGTTGATCAAAAACCCCTTTCAATTTCTCCATAGGCTTTGTCCAACGAACCATGTAGTGCCTACAAAAAGACGCCATTACTATTTCTCTCTATTACACTTAAATAAAATGTCTACGGGATAGAGTGCAGTATAGTCACTGGTTTTGTGACCCTGGTATAAATCACCTGCTTCAGGGGTTGCTACACTGGTGTCAGTACTGGGATGGTGATCACTAAGGGATGAATGTGGGTCTTTTTAAAGAGTAAGGAAGCCAATGTTACAATGATGTGGATAATATTTGAGGTGTCGTGAGACTTCTATGTATGCACATACACACACACACATCCTCCTTGGAGACATGATAGGCAATGGGATACGTTGACAACTGGATTTGACCTTCAGATGCTTTGTGCTCTCCTCTGCCCTGAATTTGCATCAATACTGTTCAGAAACTGAAATTGAGAAGCTCCCAGCATCACATAACCATCCTATGTACTCAACACATGTCACATGCTCTGAAGTGATAGAGAAGCTCAAGCAAGCCTAACACCTAGTGGAGCTGTACAGCATCATTTCTTATCCTTACACTTGTCTACATCATATCAGACACAATTTTATGGTAGCATTGTCATTTTAGGCTTCCAACATTTATTTGTGGTTAAAGTTGACTGGAAGACCTGACATTTACTCCGCGTCCCACGATGCACTGGTTTGCGTTCTTTGACCCTGCATTCAGCTAGACATCCGGGCTATGTGTGGTATTGTGGGGAAGATGGCGACACTTATCCTCCCTGCTGATTGGATCAAAAACTGGGAAAAATCTGGAAAACATGAGTTGTAAGTTGTATTATATTGTTAAATTGTGAAGACGAATGTCTTGGTGTTTCATTTTCCATAAGGGTTGTTGAGCCATGAAACCAGTTCCCATCGTTGTCCTCGTACGAGACCTGGGCAATCTCGCAATGTGAATTAGCCAACCTAGCATGCTAACCCTACTTCAAATAGTGAGGCCATTTCACAATAGCAAGCTACAGTTGGCTGCGGTTCAATAATTTTGTTTGAAATTATAGTTTGGTACAGAACTCGACAGATTCCATATGGGATTGATATAACAATTCATTTAACACTGCTGGCCCGGGTCATTCGATACTAACTAATTAGTTAGCTAACTTTCGAGTCCGCCAGTCCTCCGAGGCAACTAGCTACAGTAGCTTATTGCTGTGAAAGCCAGTAGGCTAGCTAGTTAACGTTAGCTAAACAGCTAACGATGCAGGCTATCCTGGTAGTTGACCCTGTACATTCTAACGTTGGCTAGTAGTTACCCATTGTAACTAACTAACGTTAGCTAGTTGGCAAGAACTTTGTGAACAGTGACCTAGCTGACTAGCTACTGCATTGCATGCATGTGCATCACAACGTGCGGTTTGCGCTCACATAATAAGCTAACTAGCTAGCGTACCCAGCAAGCTGATGATGCTGGCACAACCATCTGATTCTTGCTACACGAAAACATTAGCAAGCTAGCTCGTTAGCCACTTTGTTTAGAATAGCCACCACCTGTATGGACAAACGAGCAAGCTAGTGACATTTTTTACGTAATGCGTGGGTCCCAGGCAGCTATCACTTTGTCTACAAATGTTATATCATCGTGGTAATTCTTAGGGTAGTCCCTAAATAGCTAACGTTAGATGGCTAACGGTACTGAATTGAAAACATGTCGTCGACTGAGTTAGCTTGTATGGGGGCGATTTCAACTGATTTAATAATTGGCAACAGTTACAATTACATCATAATTAAGTCATCAAGCTCTCTAGTAACTGGACATTACAGGTTTGGACAATGTTTTAAAGTGCCATAGCAAAAATGCTCAGAATGGCGTCCTCATAAAAAAATGATCGTCTGGTAGTTACAGTATTATATGTTGTGTTATTATTAGGGGCTGACATTAGGCTGTCTGCAACACTGTACACATTATGTACGCATATATTACTGTACACTACTACTAACTGTACCAGCTGTGATCATTTAGATAACTATTACTAGTCACTGAAAATAAACTAGCAAATATAAAGTAAAGTCACCTTTTCCCCTCCTCTTTTCACAGTGTACAACTATGTAAGAATCTTGCAGGCAAAACAAATCATGACAGCATGATAAAAGGTATGTACTGCTCTGTACTATTTGAAAGAACAGTATGCATGTTAGTTTTTCTACAATTGAGTACAATTGCTACATGAAATTAAGACGTACTATTCATTCAATGATGGGTTCTCGCTATGTCAGGTGTCATCTAATGTTCATATAGCATCATACCGAGCAAACAGCTCTTTGGTTGACTGTTTGTGAGTAGGTCTAATACTGACACATTGTATTAGGAATAATTATCTTCCCGTTTGCCTCTTCTCTTCATTCTCTAGATATACAGGCTGCATTGTATGAACTCTGCTGGCATGTCGTACAGGGGAACTTCAAGCTGGACCTCGCTGCTAGCGTCCTCAGTGACATGATGGTATGTATGGCCTTGTTGTAGTCCTTTCATTGTCTGCAATGTCTGTCATCCCAGAAAAACTGCCATGCGTTTTGAGGATTTTGTGACCTATAGGAGAGTCCTTTTAGTGAAAACACTGACTCGCGCAGTATCTGGAGTGATGTGTATTTAGTGCTTGTTTTTTGGTTATTAAAGATGCACTATACAGAAATCGCTCTGCCATTTCCTTGTTACTAAAATTCAAATAGTTAGCCTAATTTCAGTTTGTGACAAAACAAGCAAGTATAGTGTAGAGAATCATTGTACCAACTAAACCACTGTGAAATATATTTTCTAGGCCTGTCCCCGGCTAAAAATAATATTGGTTGAATTTTTAAAACGTGTATTTTTCCATATAGACACATCCTATGTGTTTTAAGCAAAATTTACTGCGCTATGTTAAAGAAAAATGACAGCGAGTGACTGTGTGACTAGCACCCGTTGTCTCTCTCTCTCCTCCCTGCTGCAGCGACCACCACAGAACATCAACAGTGTTGATCGTGCTGTCCTTGTTGCTGAAGCGGCAACATATGCTGAAGCTGCGACATACACTGAACCAAAATATAAACGCAACATGCAACAATTTCTAAGATTTTACAGAGTTAGAGTTCATATAAGGAAATCAGTCAATTGAAATAAATTCATTAGACCCTAATTTATGGATTTCACATGACTGGGAATACAGATATGCATCTGTTGGTAGGGGCATGGATCAGAAAACCAGTCAGTATCTGGTGTGACTACCATTTGCCTCATGCAGCGCGACATCTCCTTCACATAGAGTTGATCAGACTGTTGATTGTGGGCCTGTGGAATGTTGTCCCACTCCTATTCAATGGCTGTGCGAAGTTACTAGATATTGGCGGGAACTGGAACACGCTGTCGTACACGTCGATCCAGAGCATCACAAACATGCTCAATGGGTGACATGTCTGGTGAGTTTACAGGCCATGAAAGAACTGGGACATTTTCAACTTCCAGGAATTGTGTACAGATCCTTGCGACATGGGGCTGTGCATTATCATGCTGAAACATGAGGTGATGGCGACGGATAATGGGCACGACAAAGTGCCTCCGGATCTCGTCACGGTATCTCTGTGCATTCAAATTGCCATTGATCAAATGCAATTGTGTTCGTTGTCCGTAGCTTATGCCTGCCCATACCATAACCCCACCACCACCATGGGGCACTCTGTTTACAACGTTGACATCAGCAAACCGCTTGCCCACACGACTCCATACACACTGTCTGCCATCTGCCCGGTACAGTTGAAACCGGGTTCCATCCGTGAAGAGCACACTTCTCCAGCGTGCCAGTGGCCATCAAAGGTGAGCATTTGCCCACTGAAGTCGGTTACGACGCCAAACTGCAGTCAGGTCAAGACCCTGGTGAGGACGACGAGCACGCAGATGAGCATCCCCGAGATGGTTTCTAACAGTTTGTGCAGAAATTATTCAGTTATGCAAATCCACAGTTTCATCCTCTGTCGGGGTGGCTGGTCTCTGATGATCCCGCAGGTGAAAAAGCCGAATGTGGAGATCCTGGGCTGCCGTGGTTACACTTGGTCTGCGGTTGTGAGGCCGGCTAGACGTACTGGCAAAAAAAAAAAGGACAAGTTAGATGTGTGCAATAAATTTGACTAGTTGTGGAAAATACTGGAGATCAAGACATAAGGTAAGGAGCAAGCGCTGTGTACATATTATGTGCTCCAAACAGGTGTTAGATTACAATATAATTTTTCTGACCCTTTGGAACAATGTAAACAACACAAAATAAATTATAAGCATACCAGAGAGTCTGTTTTAACGATTTTTTGTAAAGCCTTTATTACAGCAAACATTTCCGAAATGGAACAACTTATTTATTTTTTACGACTCCATTCAAGGGTCACTTTGTTATTTTATTTTAAAACTACAATGCTTGATTGCATTTCAAATCATGAATGACTCATATGCTGTGTGATGACATGAATGAATGATTGATTGATTGATACAGTAGCCTATATAACTATTGAGTAAGTTACGGTATTAAGGCTAAACAGGATGCACTCTTAGGCCTACAGCTTGATGGTGGTTATACAAGGCTGCTATACTAAGCCTACTAATTATAAGGACATTACTTATTATTATAATGATGATCATAATAATAATAGTAATAATAACAAGGAGATCAAGAAAAGGAGGGTTATTATTTTTCTGACAATTTGTAATAGTGTAAACAACACAAAACAAATTATAAATAATACCAGAGAGGCTGTTCTAACTAATAAAAAGTGTAAAGCCTTTATTACAGCATAGCATAGATTTAAAAACAGCTGAAATTGTGAAATTATTTATCCGACATGTTGTGGTTGTGTGAGGCTTGGTGCTCACGGAATCAGTAGGCTATTAAATAAACACTCAAACAGGCAACAGAAGCAGGATCTGTCTTATTTCTGTAGATATATATGAATGATTTATAAAGCCAGGCACATTTAACAGTTAGGCTATTGATTTATAGACCTATAGTAATTACAGTTGAAGTCGGAAGTTTACATACACCTTAGCCAAATAAATTGTGAATTTGTGACATTTAATCCTAGTAAAAATTCCCTGTCTTATGTCAGTTAGGATCACCACTTTATTTTAAGAATGTGAAATGTCAGAATAATAGTAGAGAGAATGATTTATTTCAGCTTTTATTTCTTTCATCACATTCCCAGTGGGTCAGAAGTTTACATACACTCAATTAGTATTTGGTAGCATTGCCTTTAAATTGTTTAACTTGGGTCAAAAGTTTCAGGTAGCCTTCCACAAGCTTCCCACAATAAGTTGGGTGAATTTTGGCCCATTCCTCCTGACAGAGCTGGTGTAACTGAGTCAGGTTTGTAGGCCTCCTTGCTCGCACACGCTTTTTCAGTTCTGCCCACACATTTTCTATAGGATTGAGGTCAGTGCTTCGTGATGGCCACTCCAGTACCTTGACTTTGTTGTCCTTAAGCCATTTTGCCACAACTTTGGAAGTATGCTTGGGGTCATTGTCCATTTGGATGACCCATTTGCGACCAAGCTTTAACTTCCTGACTGATGTCTTGAGATGTTGCTTCAATATATCCACATAATTTTCTTTCCTCATGATGCCAACTATTTTGTGAAGTGCACCAGTCCCTCCTGCAGCCAGCGGCATGAGTAGATGTCCTAACCGACTTGGCAAAACTATAGTTTGTTAACAAGAAATGTGTGGAGTGGTTGAAAAACAAGTTTTAATGACTCCAACCTAAGTGTATGTAAACCTCCGACTTCAACTGTAAGTCTCCTCGCTTTTCTTAGACAATTAAGGCAAGGGCTCTTTTCTCGTCTCCTAACTCCGCCGCTGCCTCCGCCACATTGTTCTCAACACCAATATTACATTTACATTTACGTCATTTAGCAGACGCTCTTATCCAGAGCGACTTACAGTTAGTGCATACATTATTTTATATTTTTCATACTGGCCCCCCGTGGGAATCGAACCCACAACCCTGGCGTTGCAAACACCATGCTCTACTGAGCTACATCCCTGCCGGCCATTCCCTCCCCTATCCTGGACGACGCTGGGCCAATTGTGCGCCGCCCCATGGGTGTCCCGGTCGCGGCCGGCTACGACAGAGCCTGGATTCGAACCAGGATCTCTAGTGGCACAGCTAGCACTGCAATGCAGTGCCTTAGACCACTGCGCCACTCGCAGTGGTGGTTATGCTGGTTAACTTTGCTATTATGCACATAGCAACATGGTCTAGGAAAATGTGCCAATTCAACAGCGCACTGATGTGTTTCAGAAACGCGGACAGCGACCGCTATCCAACGCGGGAGAAAGCGCATTTGTTATAAAATAATATTTGTATTGGTGTTGCACCATTGTTCTTACTTAATAAAACCATATACAATTTCAGTAGCATATGTCATTGAGTGATGGACTGTGCCATCCCGATTTCCCACGTCCTCCACAATGGATTAGTCAACTCAGACAGGCACGAATCAGACAGGTGTCTTGTACGCCATGAAAAACATTATAAAAAATTGCTGCTGCTCGACTAAAGAAATCTCGGTCGACCAAACAATCGACCAGTCGACTAAATGGGGTCAGCCATAATCTTTTCTATAACCAAAAATATTGTATTTTCATAACCAAAAATATTGTATTTTCAGCTGTTGGAAGCTGGTGTACAAAACCGAAAGTAAAAGACGCATGGGAAGCATAGAAATAGCACACACAGAACAGATCTACCGCTTCTTAGACTTGCTTTCAATGAGAATGACAGATCTATAACTGACATTTCTATGTGAATTTGGTTAGGTCGCCTAAAAAGTTAGGTATTGCAGCTTTAAAAGAGAGAGTTTGAACCATTCCTAAACGATGGACCTTGTAAGTGAAGTTCCTTTAGCAGGTGTTCAAGTTTATAGAGTATTCAGTGAGTCCACAAGTTGTTTTTCCTGTGTTCCCTAGAATGTGGGATTTTCAAATTTTTACCAATGGGGGCACATACGCTATCATTGGGAACATGCAGACAAGCAGTGGTGTAAAGTTTTTGGCTATCTGTACTTTCCTTTACTATTAATATTTTTGACAACTTTTACTTCACTACATTCCTAAAGAAAATAATGTACTTTTTACTACATACATTTACCCTGACGCGCAAAAGTATTTGTTACATTTTGAATGCTTAGCAGGACATGAAAATTGTCTAATTCACACTTATCAAGAGAACATCCCTGGTCATCCCTACTGCCTCTGATTTGGCAGACTCACTAAACACATGCTTTGTTTGTAAATGGTGTCTGAGTGTTGGAGTGTGCCCCTGGCTATCCGTAAAAAAAATTCTTTTAAAATATGGTGCCGTCTGATTTGCTTAATATAAGGAATTTGAAAAGATTTATACTTTTGATACGTAAGTATATTTTAGCAATTACATTTACTTTTGATACTTAAGTATATTTAAAACCAAATACTTTTAGACTTCTACTCAAGTAGTATTTTACTGGGTATCTTTACTTTTACTCAATTATGACAATTAGGTACTTTTTTCACCACTGCAGACAAGGTACACTTGCAGCTGTGCCAGATTAAAACAGTGTTTTCTTTTGCTGACCAGCCAATTCATTATTAATTAATCTCAAACTAAAACCTTGTGCTTTGCTTGTAAAGAAAGATTAACAACACTTCTGGAACTTCTCTATCAGCAAACAAAAGTAATTGAGAATTAACCTTTTTAATAATGTATGTTTTGAATGCTTCTGATTTCTTGTTTATTTCCAGGAACTGCGGGATGACATGCCATCTATTTTAGCAGATGTTTTCAGTATACTAGGTGGGTATGACTTCAGTTTGGGCATATTGTGACAGTCATTTGCAATTGTATGCCTAAATGTAAAAAAAATGAGTTGCCGAATTACAGTAATGTCATCATGATATTATGTTTTAATAATTATTTTTGACAGACATAGAGACCAGTTCTTTGGAGGAAAAAAACAAACGCGACCATTACACCCAGCTAGTGGGAGCGTGTCTGGTAAGTGTATTTCAAGTGTTTACTGCAAAGAGCAAAAATACATTATCATGAAATTGTCAAACTTTCACTAGGTGGCAGTATTGTTCAAACAAAACTCAACCTTTGTCTGTTGTATTTCCCATTGTAAGGCCAAAACACAGTATTAAATAAGAACACACTTTATTTAATTGGCTCTGAATTTAGAATATTATAGTAATGTTTGATTCTCTTCACAAATGTTAAAGGTGCAATCAGCAGTTCGTGGTCTCCCGAGTGGCGCAGTGGTCTAAGGCACTGTGCATCGCAGTGCTAGCTGTGCCACTAGAGATCCTGGTTCGAATCCAGGCTCTGTCGTAGCCGGCCGCGACCGGGAGACCCATGGGGCGGCGCACAATTGGCCCAGCGTCGTCCAGAATAGGGGAGGGAATGGCCGGCAGGGATGTTGGTAGAGCACGGCGTTTGCAACGCCAGGGTTGTGGGTTCGTTTCCCACGGGGGGCCAGTATGAAAAAAAAAAAATATAATGTATGCACTCACTAACTGTAAGTCGCTCTGGATAAGAGCGTCTGCTAAATGACTAAAATGTAAATGTAGTTGCTACATACATTTTTTAGACTTATGAGTGATACTGTATGTAGACATTGATTCTTGAAGAATATATGCCTCATTAGCTTAGTTCAACTGTCGTACGTCATCAGAATCCAAAATATAAGCTTGTTTTACTCCGTTTGTAAACAAAGTAAATTTAAACAAACATTCTATAGCCTCAAAATGTTTCAAACTATAATTTCAAAATCAAATCAAATTGTATTTGTCACATGCACCGAATACAACAGGTGTAGACCTTACTGTGAAATGCTTACAAGCCCTTAACCAACAATGCAGTTTTTTTTTACGTATGAAAATGTTTGCTAAACAAATAACAAATACATAAAAAAATTAAAAAAAGGTTAATAATTTTTTTTTTTTAACTATTTAAATAACAATAACGAGGCTATATACAGGGGGTACCGGTACAGAGTCAATGTACAGGTTAGTCAAGGTAATTGAGGTAATATGTACACTACCAGTCAAAAGTTTGGACACACCTACTCATTCAAGGGTTTTTCTTTATTTTTACTATTTTTTACATTGTATAATAATAGTGAAGACATCAAAACTATGAAATAACACACATGGAATCATGTAGTAACCAAAAAAGGGTTAAACAAATCAAAATATATTTTATATTTGAGATTCTTCAAATAGACACCCTTTGCTTTGATGACAGCTTTGCACACTTTTGGCATTCTCTCAAGCAGCTTCATGAGGTAGTCACCTGGAATGCATTTCAATTAACAGGTGTGCCTTCTTAAAAGTTAATTTGTGAATGGGGGCGTGCTCGGCCCTCCTTTTCCTGTAGTCCACAATCAGCTCCTTTTGTCACGTTGAGGAAGAGGTTGTTGGCCTGGCACCACACTGCCAGGTCTCTGACCTCCTCCCTATAAGCTGTCTCATCGTCGTCGGTGATCAGGCCTACCAATGTTGTGTCGTCAGCAAACTTAATGATAGTGTTGGAGTCGTGCGCGGCCAGGGAGTGAACAGGGAGTACAGGAGGGGACTAAGCAAGCACCCCTGAGGGGCCTCCTAGTTGAGGTTCAGCGTGGCAGATGTGTTGTTGCCTACCCTTACCACCCTGGGGCGGCCCGTCAGGAAGGGAGGTGTTTAGGGAGGTGTTTAGTCCCAGGATCCTTAGCTTAGTGATGAGCTTTGAAGGCACATGCTGAGCTGTAGTCAACAAACAGCATTCTGACGTAGGTGTTCCTTTTGTCCAGGTGGGAAAGGGCAGTGTGGAGTGCAATAGAGATTGCGTCATCTGAGTACGCGTCCTTGTAATCCGTCTGGCCCCGCGGCCTTGTGAATGTTGACCTGTTTAAAGGTCTTACTCACATTTTGATATCATGGATGGTCAGTCCTTGCATCCATAGCTCTGTTTAGGAATTTGAGAGTAGTTGCATTTCTCCTGCCCCATCCCTCAGCTTTTACCGAAACAGGAGCGTGAGAACGCTTTGTTTTTGTTTCAACTGCTGATTGCCGCTTTAAATTTGCTATCATTCATAACCATATAATATATATTTACCAGTCTTTATATAACACTTGTTTGTTTCCTCCTGCCCTCTCTTCAGTTATTTGTGCCAGATGCCATCCTGAAGGAGAGGCTGGACCCAGAGACCCTGGAGTCCCTGGGACTCATAAAGCAAGCCCATCAGTTCAACCAGAAAATCGTCAAAATCAAGACCAAGCTATTGTAAGTGGAGCAGTGACTTATTTTCATCTATAAAAACAAAAATCCTGTAATGTTCAGTGTCAAAAGGTCAACAGCGTAGTAAATGGAATGGTCTGACCAAGTAGCCTAATTAAAAACCGTGTTAAAGATTTAAACCCACATAGTCACCCTCCAGAACTGGGGTTAGCTACTGTTATCCCCAGGACAGGTCAGGGCACATCTGTTACTCAGCTGTGTTGACTGTGCTGGAGAGGCTGTTAACCCAAGGTTACATCTCCATCCCTGGCTTATCCACCTCACAGCCTGTGGCTGTAGCGTTTAATACGTGACTATTTACCCTATAGGATGAGAGCTTTGCCATGAACACCAAATGTAATGTCAGCACAGAATGTAGATAAATTGCATCACTTTAGTTGTTTATAATTCTCTCAGGCTGTTGTTCACACACTACTGTGCTGCAATACATGGTAATTCAGGCTGTATAGGGTTCTATTACCATGTAGTACAATAGAAACACAATAAATGATCATTTGATTCACACGTGGGCCTAAAATGTGAAGTTTTGTCTAATGGTGAATGGTGCAGAGTGGCCTCCTACATATTGTTTTCAACTCTGTCCCCTGACAGTTACAAGCAGCAGAAGTTCAACTTGCTAAGGGAAGAGAATGAGGGCTATGCCAAGCTGATCACTGAGCTGGGCCAAGACCTCTCAGGCAACATCACCAGCCACATCGTCCTAGAGAGCATCAAGTCCCTGATAGGTATGAAACCCCTCGTCTTTTTACATTTTCATCACGTTCTCCACAGCCAAGACATAACTGCCCCTTGTGGTCTTTGTCTTACTGTGTTTTCTGTGACAGAATAATGTCTATGGCCAGCCCTGAAAGTCATGGAGATTTGAATTTGGCAGAAGTGCTTTTTATTGTTTAACTTGAGGATTCAAATGTTGCCTGGGATGTGAATATTTGTAGTACCTGTACCTGACCAGTTAGACTCCCAAATAGGATTTACATAACACATCTCCATATTTTGTACCCAAGTTATTCGTATGTCATCTCTACACTAACCCCGTCTCCACCCTGCAGGATGCTTCAACCTGGACCCCAACCGCGTTCTGGACATCATCCTGGAGGTGTACGAGTGTCGTTCTGACCAGGATGAGTTCTTCCTGCCCCTCATCAAGTCCTACATGTGTGAACCCCTCACCCTCTGCCACATCCTGGGCTTCAAGTTCAAGTTCAACCAGGTGAGAGAGTGCAGACTCCCTGCTGGACAGTGACTGTCTGCCGCCTGTCTGAAACCTGCCGCCTGTCTGAAACCTGCCGCCTGTCTGAAACCTGCCGCCTGTCTGAAACCTGCCGCCTGTCTGAAACCTGCCGGATAGAAACTGTACAAATGTGTATTTGTGAGGCGTTAGTGAGGAGCTACCTGCCCAAGAAGCAGAGAAATCCATAAACAATTTAAGGTCTTATTGATGAGAACATAAATCTTGCCCAGGTTTGGAATTTTCTCCAGCTATTCTCCCTTGACCTGCAGGAATGAGGGAAAATGGTGCAGTCAGACCTGATGTGAATAGTAATGCTGCCCGGCACTGAAATATACACTTTAGCTCCAAGTTGGGGATCAAAGGACAGCCGAGTGATCTCTATTGATTTGTACTAGACCCCCCCATCCATTAGCTGTTCCTCTGACTGTCCCTCTCCCCCAGGAGCCCAATGAGGAGACCCCCACGTCACTCTACCACATTGCTGCCGCCCTTCTCCACCACAACCTCATAGAGCTGGAGGACCTCTATGTGCACGTAAGCATCTCTCAACTCACACTTACTCTCACATATAATAATATAATTGTATATATATGATTTAAGACTAACATTGGTTGTCCTCAGTAAATGCCCGATTGTGCAGCAGCTGATCCGATAGGAAAATCGAATCGCCTTGTTCTGTAAGCTGTGACCTGACATATGACAGAGTCTGTCCTGTCCTCTGTGCCTCTGCCTTCCCAGCTGATGCCACTGGATGCCAGCATTATAGAGGAGCACAAGCGAGAGATCACGGAGGCCAAGCAGATCGCCCGCAAGCTCACCATGGTAGTGGTGCCCTCCGAGAAGACAGAGGACAAGGAGAGAGAGAAGGAGAAAGAGGAGGAGAAGAATGACAAGGTAAAGTCATCTCATCACCATCACTCGCATACAGTGGGGAGAACAAGTATTTGATACACTGCCGATTTTGCAGGTTTTCCTATTTACAAAGCATGTAGAGGTCTGTACTTTTTATCATAGGTACACTTCAACTGTGAGAAAATCCAGAAAATCACATTGTATGATTTTTAAGTAATTAATTTGCATTTTATTGCATGACATAAGTATTTGATACATCAGAAAAGCAGAACTTAATATTTGGTACATAAACCTTTGTTTGCAATTACAGAGATCATACGTTTCCTGTAGGTCTTGACCAGGTTTGCACACACTGCAGCAGGGATTTTGGCCCACTCCTCCATACAGATCTTCTCCAGATCCTTTAGGTTTCGGGGCTGTCGCTGGGCAATACGGACTTTCAGCTCCCTCCAAAGATTTTCTATTGGGTTCAGGTCTGGAGACTGGCTAGGTCACTCCAGGACCTTGAGATGCTTCTTACGGAGCCACTCCTTAGTTGCCCTGGCTGTGTGTTTCGGGTCGTTGTCATGCTGGAAGACCCAGCCACGACCCATCTTCAATGCTCTTACTGAGGGAAGGAGGTTGTTGGCCAAGATCTCGCGATACATGGCCCCATCCATCCTCCCCTCAATACGGTGCAGTTGTCCTGTCCCCTTTGCAGAAAAGTATCCCCAAAGAATGATGTTTCCACCTCCATGCTTCACGGTTGGGATGGTGTTCTTGGGGTTGTACTCATCCTTCTTCCTCCAAACACGGCGAGTGGAGTTTAGACCAAAAAGCTCTATTTTTGTCTCATCAGACATTTACATTTACGTCATTTAGCAGACGCTCAGACCACATGACCTTCTCCCATTCCACCTCTGGATCATCCAGATGGTCATTGGCAAACTTCAGACGGGCCTGGACATGCGCTGGCATGAGCAGGGGGACCTTGCGTGCGCTGCAGGATTTTAATCCATGACGGCGTAGTGTGTTACTAATGGTTTTCTTTGAGACTGTGGTCCCAGCTCTCTTCAGGTCATTGACCAGGTCCTGCCGTGTAGTTCTGGGCTGATCCCTCACCTTCCTCATGATCATTGATGCCCCACGAGGTGAGATCTTGCATGGAGCCCCAGACCGAGGGTGATTGACCGTCATCTTGAACTTCTTCCATTTTCTAATAATTGCGGCAACAGTTGTTGCCTTCTCACCAAGCTGCTTCCTTATTGTCCTGTAGCCCATCCCAGCCTTGTGCAGGTCTACAATTTTATCCCTGATGTCCTTACACAGCTCTCTGGTCTTGGCCATTGTGGAGAGGTTGGAGTCTGTTTGATTGAGTGTGTGGACAGGTGTCTTTTATACAGGTAAGGAGTTCAAACCGATGCAGTTAATACAGGTAATGAGTGGAGAACAGGAGTGCTTCTTAAAGAAAAACTAACAGGTCTGTGAGAGCCGGAATTCTTCCTGGTTGGTAGGTGATCAAATACTTATGTCATGCAATAAAATGCAAATTAATTACTTAAAAATCATACAATGGGATTTTCTTGATTATTGTTTTAGATTCCGTCTCTCACAGTTGAAGTGTACCTATGATAAAAATCACAGACCTCTACATGCTTTGTAAGTAGGAAAACCTGCAAAATCGGCAGTGTATCAAATACTTGTTCTCCCCACTGTATATTTCTACCATTTGAAAAACATGTCTGCACATTTGGGTACCGGTTCTGTACTGAAGCACAACTCTACGTCCATCAAGTGTCCTTCTTTGTTTTCCATGATGAATCCCAGTCTTTATAAGGCTGCCACAGGGTGTAGGTGAAGGGAAAGGAAATGCTTTATTGCTGTGTGTGTTAACGAGTTGCTAGTCAGTGTCTGTCTGAGGCAGAGCCGTGCTGCTGAGGACCACAGACAGACAGCACAGGCAGTAATTGATGGACCAGAGGAGGTCTGTTAATTAGCGCTGCAGCGGTCAGGCCACAGCCACAGACGTGGTGTTAAACGTACAGACTCCACACGGACCGCTTCTCCACCCCCCATCCCGCACGCTAACAGTAACGAATAGCAACACTGAAGGCTTTTGTGGGCCATGTTTCTAAAATAACTCCAGCCTCCAGTCCAAGCTCCAGATTGTCAGTTTGCATCTCAGTCAACTGGGTGCCGGAGTCATTCTAATGCTAAATTGAGTGAATATCTGTTTCAACAATAGTTTTTGCTGTGGCTTGCATTTTTTTTTTATTGTTTTCTTCTCTCAATTAAAAAAAATATTTAAAAATTAAGCCCACAGTGGGAGATGAGGGCAAATTTAGAGAATAGCCTGGTCGCAAAAAGAAGTGAGAGCAACATTGAAGGAGCAGAATATCTGCTCGTCCTCTAGCTAGCTTTCTCATCCCACGTCACAGCCTCTCCCTGACAGCACTGCCTTGTTACTATGCTGTGTCACAGTTAGTTGTGTCAGTCACACACATATGAAGTGCAGCGTCAGATAGGATGAGGGATTTCTACCGTTCCTTGTTCCCATCCAGTGCTGCTGGAGTAAATGACGTCTTGGGATTTACTGACTAGGCTTTGTATTTGCAAATCCTCCATAACCTCTTTTAATGGGCCTGCTTTGTACTGTGTGAGATCCCTCAGCTAGTTTATGACTGACAGTCATAAACTAAGGACTTAGGAAGAGCTGCTCTCTAACTACTGCTTCTGCTGCTCCAATTGCCCTGATCTTCACTCAAGCACACATACTCTCAGCATCTCCCCCTCTCCCCTCAGCCTCCTGATAACCAGAAGCTGGGCCTGCTGGAAGCGCTGCTGAGGATCGGCGACTGGAACCATGCCCAGAACATTATGGACCAGATGCCCGCCTTCTACGCCACCTCTCACAAGGCCATCGCCCTGGCACTATGCCAGCTGCTGCACCTGACTGTGGAGCCGCTGTACCGCAGGTGCCTGCCCGCTCCCACAGATTCACTTAGTGCTCTTCGCACACTGGTGGAACAAAGAGATGCACCTAAATACACCGCAACACGACATGCCAGAGTGTACATACACAGCCAGCCAGACTATAACATCCTCTGATGCCAGCCTTTCATTTAATTGTAGGGACACACTGAATACACACAGACATAACGACAACCACAAACAGAACCACTTCCTCTTCACACTAGAGCAGTGGAGGCTGTATGTTGCTGTGTTTAGTACGCCCTGTCTCACATGTGTTTCCCTTGCAGAGCCGGGGTCCCCAAAGGGGCCAAGGGCTGTGTGATGAGGCCCCTGAGGAACAAGCGGGCCCCCAGACCTGCCGAGAGCTTTGAGGACCTGCGCAGGGACGTGTTCAGCATGCTCTGCTACCTGGGGCCTCACCTCTCCCACGACCCCATCCTCTTTGCCAAGATAGTACGACTGGGCAAGGGCTTCATGAAAGAGGTACAGGCCCTACCATCAGTTTGCCTAAAGTCCATTGATGATAAGTAATGCTTTAATTGATCCCCGAAGGAAAATTCATTGGCATACCCTCTCCTACTCTAGCTTCATCTCATTAATTGTCCTCTTGTTCTCTTTTGTTCCTCCAGTACCAAAGTGAGGGTCGAAATGACCACATCAAGGACAAAATGGTGAGTTATCAAAGTAAATGGGACCAAGAAGTGACTTAGAACAGCCTTGTTGTATTAATCAGCAAGAGTAATAAATATAATATAATTCTGTAAGCATCCACACACTGTGGTCTGTGCTCTGTGCTGCTGTTCCCTACTAGGACACGTTGCTGAGTTGTTTCCTGAGCATTGCAGACCAGGTGCTGCTGCCCTCGCTCTCTCTAATGGAATGCAACGCCTGCATGTCAGAAGAGCTCTGGGGCCTCTTCAAGCTGTTCCCTTACCAGCACAGGTGAAACATATCTATATCTATATATATACAGTTGAAGTCGGAAGTTTACATACACTTAGGTTGGAGTCATTAAAACTTGTTTTTTCAACCACTCCACAAATTTCTTGTTAACAAACTATAGTTTTGGCAAGTCGGTTAGGACATCTACTTTGTGCATGACACAAGTCATTTTTCCAACAATTGTTTACAGAAAGATTATTTCACTTATAATTCACTGTATCACAATTCCAGTGGGTCAGAAGTTTACATACACTAAGTTGACTGTGCCTTTAAACGGCTTGGAAAATTCCAGAAAATGATGTCATGGCTTTAGAAGCTTCTGATAGGCTAATTGACATCATTTGAGTCAATTGGAGGTGTACCTGTGGATGTATTTCAAGGCCTACCTTCAAACTCAGTGCCTCTTTGCTTGACATCATGGGAAAAGCAAAAGAAATCAGCCAAGACCTCAGAAAAAAAATGGTAGACCTCCACAAGCCTGGTTCATCCTTGGGAGCAATTTCCAAACGCCTGAAGGTACCACGTTCATCTGTACAAACAATAGTACGCAAGTATAAACACCATGGGACCACGCAGCCGTCATACCGCTCAGGAAGGAGATGCATTCTGTCTCCTAGAGATGAACGTACTTTGGTGTGAAAAGTGCAAATCAATCCCAGAACAACAGCAAAGGACCTTGTGAAGATGCTGGAGGAAACAGGTACAAAATTATCCATATCCACAGTAAAACGAGTCCTATATCGACATAACCTGAAAGGCCGCTCAGCAAGGAAGAAGCCACTGCTCCAAAACCGCCATTAAAAAAGCCAAATTACGGTTTGCAACTGCACATGTAGACAAATATAGTACTTTTTGTAGAAATGTCCTCTGGTCTGATGAAACAAAAAATAGAACTGTTTGGCCATAATGACCATCGTTATGTTTGGAGGAAAAAGGGGGACCTTGCAAGCCGAAGAACACCATCCCAACTGTGAAGCACGGGGGTGGCAGCATCATGTTGTGGGGGTGCTTTGCTGCAGGAGGGACTGGTGCACTTCACAAAATAGTTGGCATCATGAGGAAAGAAAATTGTGGATATATTGAAGCAACATCTCAAGACATCAGTCAGGAAGTTAAAGCTTGGTCGCAAATGGGTCTCCCAAATGGACAATGACCCCAAGCATCCTTCCAAAGTTGTGGCAAAATGGCTTAAGGACAACAAAGTCAAGGTATTGGAGTGGCCATCACAAAGCCCTGACCTCAATCCTATAGAAAATGTGTGGGCAGAACTGAAAAGGTGTGTGCGAGCAAGGAGGCCTACAAACCTGACTCAGTTACACCAGCTGTGTCAGGAGGAATGGGCCAAAATTCACCCAACTTGGGAAGCTTGTGGAAGGCTATTTGAAGAATCTCAAATATAAAATATGTTTTGATTTGTTTAACACTTTTTTGGTTACTACTTGATTCCATGTGTTATTTCATAGTTTTGATGTCTTCACTATTATTCTACAATTTAGAAAATAGTAAAAATAAAGAAAAACCCTTGAATGAGTAGGTGTCCAAACTTTTGACTGGTACTGTATGTCAGTGTTAACCCACCCACCTGTGTTCTACCTGTGGTCCCCAGGTACCGGCTATACGGGCAGTGGAAGAACGAGACGTACACCAGCCACCCGCTGCTGGTCAAGGTCAAAGCTCAGACTGTGGACAGAGCCAAATACATCATGAAGTAAGTCACGTTGCTACGCCTACCTACCGCCTTACCAGTTAGATATAGTGCCTGCTGTTTTATCCAACGTTTGGTTGTGGCACTTAGAAGTCACGTTTTCTGCACCCACAACTCATAGGTTCCTTTTTATAGACTTTTCAGGCATCTAAACTAATTCAGGCGTCCAACCCATGCCCCTTGAGTATAATGTAGCAGCATCTCTAGGAAAGCACCCTCAAAGCCAGTCAGTGTTTCTCACAAATTCTTCTAGGAGATAAACTCAGTTACTTTGTCCATTGAGCTTTCAGTGGTTGCTGTTGGAAACTTGTCAAAAGGTATGTGTGTGTGTCAGGGTTCGTACGGTCATGAAAATCCTGGTAAAGTCATGGGATTTTACAATTGTTTTCCAGGCCTGGAAAATGGTAGAACCTGAAAAGTCATGGAAATTAATTTAATAAAAAAACATATCAGCCAGGATCGTAATATGAAACTTTAGCGTCTGTGTGCGCGCATCACCTGTATGTGTGTGAGTGGGCCATTGCTCAAGGAGAGAGAATAGCCTATCAAATATGATAGAAAACAGACTAACTAGGTAGCCAATTCAAAACTTGTTTTGTAGATACTTCCAGTTGATTTGGGCATCCAATGTATGGGACATTGCAACTCAATAGATGCTACTCAGCCTGCAAATTAAACACTTCTAAGGTAGCGAAGATAAATGACTAAACAAGAAAATATACATTTCCTGAAGAAAATGTGTGGGCTTGCTTCAGCTGAATAAAAAGATTTGTAGCCTACCATAGCCATTTGATCTTTGATATATTGAATGAGCTAATTATTTTATAAAGGCATAAAACGTTTTTGGGTGTAATGTTGCAATGTTTTATTAAGGGTGGTCAACCATCCTTCAGGAGAGCTAATAGGTGTGCAGGCTTTTATTCCAGTCCCCCTCTAACAAACCACATTTTAGAAATGAGCTGCTCAACCGGACCTTGATAAATGAACTCTGATGTGTTTGAACAGGGCTGGATCAAAAGCCTGCCCACCCAGTAGTTCTCCAGACTGAGCCACTGACGGTTGACCACATGTGTTTTATGCAGTTGCCTAACAGGTTGTTCTACTTGGTGGGAGGGTTAAGTGCCTTGCCCAACGACAGGAGATGGTACAGTCGTGGTCAAAAGTTTTGAGAATGACACAAGTATTGGTCTTCACAAAGTTCGCTGCTTCAGTGTTATGAGATATTTTTGTCAGATGTTACTATGGTATACTGAAGTATAATTACAAGCATTCCATAAGTGTCAAAGGCTTTTATTGACAATGACATTTAGTTTATGCAAAGAGTCAATATTTGCAGTGTTGACCCTTCTTTTTCAAGACCTCTGCAATCTGCC